ACAAATGATTGATATATTCTACTCGAGGATGTAGTTCAGTCTCTGACTTGTACCTTTCTATTATTCTAAGTTTTTAAACTCGTGTTAATTCTAGAAAAAGTGAATGTTGACGACTCTTGAATCTTCGGTGGTCCGCATCTTGAAATATTTTCGTTGCTAAGACAATCGCACATTTTTTGCTTAAGTCCGTTTGAATAAGATACAATATAATCTCAACTAAATACAAATTAATCTTAACTAAAGTTTATTTTACCTTTTACATGTCAAAAAAATAACATATTTACGACACATTATCATATACCCATGAATACAGAATCTCCCAACCACAAATTTTTAGGATCCTTAAAAGAAGAAAAGTAAAGAAAAAGAGTAAAGTCCTCCGTTGAAGAAGAAGTAAAGAATTATACACATTGGAAGTTAAAAAGAAAACGTTATTATAATCTGATAAATCATTGACAAAAAAGATTAAAATATCAATTGCTGTCCTCAGGTAGCTGAGGTTTTAAAAATATTTCCATTCTCATCAAGAAATCAAAGTGATTTATTTTAAATCCCGCCTTCCTTTATATTAATTTGTCTGATTTTTAAGCAATTTTTGTTCCTTCATTTAAATTCTGGTTTGGAACATCTAATGTATTACTCAGTGTACACTAATGTGTTTATAATTTTTGTAATTGAAATTTTACAGATACTCTAAAACTTTATTTAAAGAGCTGTGCTTCCTTTTCTAAATATCATTTTCATATCTGGATTTGTCTGAATTTGTTACTAAGATGATTTATAGCAACTTTCTTTTATCATTCAGTACTCAATTGTAGATTTTTTTTCCATCCAAATCATCATTAATCCCCAATCGTTTTATTGAACTAACTAATTCGGTCATTTGATCCCATTTAAATATTAAACACTGTTACCACATTTAGACTGAAACAGATTGACCTAAAAGACGCTCGTTTGTTCGTTTCAAACACTAAGTGAATTGATCTGTGAAGGGTTAAGTTAAAATAATTCTTGGGTTTTCAAAGTGATCATACAAATTTTTTCTTGATAAGGCATTGAAAATGTTGTCATTAGTGAATTGCTCTAATCAAGTGCTACATAGGACTAAGACTTAGTCTGGGTTTCTCTCCTATATTGTTACACTCTAAATTTTGAATGTTAAGGATTCATTTTATTTTTGTTCTTCTTCCAGTGAAACTTTAATAGTATTTCGACATAAATATTTGTTATGAACGAGTAGTTCGTCTCTATATCAACAGTCAGTTTGAAAATTAATGGAATGTGTTAATTAAAAGTAATAAAGCAGGAATATTTTTGATAACCTTAACAGAATCAAGGAGAGCTATTCCAACTTTCGATAATTGGATAATTGCAAATGACGTTATCGTAGATCATTCGCGGCATTTGTTGATTCAGAAGCCAATACAGTTTGACATAAATAAATCTGATTTCAATCATTTATTTAGATATTATCACTTTGTAAGTTTGAGTCGCAAGTATCCAAAACTGATATTTCTAAAAAACATAATTGTAATGAAATTTAAAAAAAAGTTTTAAAATATATAATTTAAGAAGTATAGATAAGAAGTATTTGGCTCATAAATCAATGGAACGAAGCGCACATTTTAAAACTCCTCTGTCAAGAAAATAAAGAAAAAGAATCCGCAGTATCTTAAACTTTAAGCACAAAGCTTTAATTTTAATTTATTTAAACATTGAGTAGGTTTAAAAACGATCCTATATTTTAAATATTTGAACATTTCTGTTTCTTTAAATCGCCAATTTGATGAGATTTCTTCACTTAGATAAAAAAAAAAATTAGAAAAAGAATCATTGAAATCAATCCTTAATTCTCAATGTTTGCATATTTTTTAACTCAAATAATACAGTGTAAGAGTAACTGTTTGAATATTAAAAATTTAGATCACAAACACATTTCATTTTCAAGTAACTATGGTTTCTCTTAATATTAACATTTTGCGCCATTTTCATAATCCTCATAGAGGACGCTAGGAATGGACAAAAACAATAAGTCATGAACAACTGTTTCGAAATCTAAGCAGTTATAAAAAGAACATATTATTCGCCAAAATAAACGTTTTTCATTCGACAAAAGACACCTCAAAGAAAAGCTTTAATTCAGTGGTATTTCAGATCAAAGAACATTTTGTCTTACACTTATTTTAGTCAAGCAAAGAATAAACTATGAATCCTTTGCTACACACTTTTATTTGTATTTAATCCTTCAGCGTTTTTCTAGGTCCCACAGTAATCAAGAATTCGCTGAAAAAGCTTAATGTGGATTGTTCTTAATACCTCACTCTAAATACACAATTCAAAGTACATAACATATTTCATTTAAGTTCTTTTTTCTCAGAATAGCTCATTAAATCCTGACATTTTCTTAAACCATCAATTATACCAAACGTGACTTTATACTATATCAAACAATCAGGTTTTATTAACTTTTTCTTGAAGTAAATTTAGATGTTTTGGCCATTTTATATTTACATATATTGCGTTTTCTTTCCTGAAGATATATTTCATGGTTCTTGAAAGAAGAAAAATGATAAAACGTTAGATATAATTTATTACTAATGCCAGTTAAAACTAATTAATAATGATTATAAATATTTGCTAATATTAGTTACAACTATTTGCCAAGAACATAACATAACTCAATTATGCTTAAAGGTTCTCTTTCAGACAGAAAATGGATTGTTCTTCCTCTATAATCTATGGATAATTATATGAAAGCAAAGTTTATTTAAGCAACTACTTAACATGTATGCGTATTTTGTATGTTTTTAATATTCATTTTATCTATTTGTGCCATTTTATAACTGTTATACACAGCCATTTTATAACTGTTATATTACTATTTTATATATTTGTGCCATTATAAACACTGTGACAAAATGTTAAATTTAAAGATTGGAATTATTTTTAAGACTTTAATTTTGAAAAAGAGCTTGAACTATAAAAACTTTGATCTACGAAAACTCATACGTACGCTACTTCTTTACATATTAATTAATTCATAACTTTGAATATTTTTTAAATTTGTCAAAATTAACATAATAACCAATTTTAAAACTTTAAATTTGTAAGTATTTTTTAAGACTTGAAATGTTAAACTTGTTAACCTACAATGACTCATAAATAAGAAATATTTTTTTGTTTATTAAGTAACTAATTAATATTTTTGAACATTTTTTATTTTATTTTATTTTATTTTATTTTATTTTATTTTATTTTATTTTATTTATTGAATAGATTATAAAACCTAGCTACCAAATTTAAAATTTTAAAGTTGCAAGTATTTTAAAAGCCTGAATTTTGAAAAGTTTTAAAAATAATTATGACTTAAAAATTTAAAACTTAGTAACTGAGTTCAATGGAGCACTTTTCAATCTATAAAATGTAACAAAAATAAATGTTCAGAAATATGCTTCATATTTCTGATTTACTTTATATATCATCAATATAAAGTAAATTATTAATGTATATTACTTTATTAATATTATTAATATATAATACTTAATATATTAATAATTACGGATAAATTAAACCACTTGCGTTTAATTTATCTGTGAGTTAACAAAGAAGAAGTAGACTCTTTTAAATCTGAAAAAGACCCTTAACCATTAGTTAATAATTAAAGAGCTCAGTAAAAAAATATTCTAAGTGGTATTTTAATTAATTTAGGAACATTAGGTTTTGAAAATGTAGAAAGAACAAAAAATTGCTTACGACGCACATTTTTCCATTAAAAATCGTCTTATTTAATGATAACACGGACGAAAATAAATTTCTAAATAAATTTAATTGATTTCTAATTTTGAATTAAATTAATGTTTGCCCAATTATACAATTCATTTATCAAAAGATAAATTCAAGTTAAAATTTATTCCAATAATTTTTAATTTGACGATGATTGAGCAAATTTTGAATCGAAAGGTAAATTAATAAAAAATTTAAGTTTAATTAATTCTAACTTTTGATCATTTTAAACTACACGATTTTTGATTTAACAAAATTATCAGCAATATAAATTTAAATCGATTACATCTTGAAAAATGAAAAATTTAAAATACGACTTTTTTGAAGTTATATTGCTTAGAAACTTTTCGACCAAATTCGATCAAATTTTTAATTTTTGACATTTGATGTAAATTTTTTTTAAGTCATGTAAAAATATTTACACCTTAAAATTCAAAAATGTCTTGATTGCTTTTAAATAAAATTTAAAAATAAATAATAAATACGAATTACAAAAAAATTAAAATACAGAAAAGGGAGAAATACATTTTCCTATTATAATTCACATAATTTATTAAAACCCGTCAGAAATAAATTAATTTCTAAATGACTTTGATTAATTTCGATTTCAGAAATAATGCAGTTTTGGCATAATTATAATACTCATTTATTTAAAGATTAATCAATAAGTAAAATAATTTCAATATTTGTTCATTTATCTATTATATATATATATATATATATAAATATATAAAGAAAAATATAAAAGATATATAAATATAAATATAAAAGATATATAAATATTATATGAGGATAATTATTCGTAAGGATAATTATTCTTTATTAGGATTTATTA